TTTGAGTGAATGTTTCATTGTTTGATCTTTTGTCAGAGTTTTATCCATTTACTTTAGTTCCTAGCGGCTATGGGATATGTTTCAAACATCTCTAACAGGGGTTAATGTGTGTGAGCATTATTGTAATTTCCAGTCTCATCATCATACAACTCTTCACTGCTCCTAGCAGTTATATGCATATTGAATCCTGCGGACGCATAGCTGATTTCATGCATTTGGGAAGGCGTAGTTAAAAGCAAGTCTACTCAGGGCCTTAGGGTGGGCACTAAACATTTCAGGGGGTGTACAAAGCTGGGGTCCACTGATCTGCAGTGTTGATAAATGGGGCTATTTATGTTTTATTTTTTAAGGTTTATTTTTGGGCTTTTTATGCCATTATGTGAGAGACAGGACAGTGGATAGAGTCAGACATCATGGAGAGAGAGAGTGAGAGAGAGAGAGACAGGCAGGAAAGGAGCTACAGGTCGGGTTTGAACCTGGGCATCCTAAAGTAAAGGATAATAAGCTTTGACGCCATGATGTTTTTTTTTTATCTGCTATGTATTCAGAGTCGTCCCCATTGACCCCCCCCCCCCCCCCCCCATCTGTTCTCCTGAGTCATGTCTTTATGTTTTTACCCATCGATGTTTGGATTTCATTAAAGATGGTTTCATAATAATCATCTGAACGCCAACACCATCGTGCTGAAAGTGACGCCGCTGAATCATCTGACATCTTTAATTTTATAAATCACTAAAAATCATATGACATGTTAAATGTCGGGGTCCTAAAAAGGCTTTAAATTGGACCCAATTTCAGAGCAAAATCCATGTTTTTTGGTAGATTTCTCATTAAATTTTCAATTGACCCATCTTGTGCATCATCCATATTATATATGAGAACAAACTGTCCATCAGTTTGATTCATCATGAAATTATGATTAAAATAATTATCGTTTGTCATCAGAAAACAACGTTTCAAATTTTAAATTGAAAGCTTTAAATTAACTGAAACATTTCCCCTGGATTAGAGATAAAATCAGAGATGTTATAGAGTATTATTCATTTATGCAAACAGTAAATTCAGACTCTTTCAGACTCATTTTTACAAAGCAGTGAAGAAGATTCAGAGCATATCCGTTAATTAGACACATGAATAGTTTATTTTAATGGATTTTTAAAAAACCTCCAAGCGGTTTTAAACTACATTTTCTTCATGCATCTCTTTCACTTCATAAACTCCCTTAATCCCCCACCCACTGAGCCCAGTGTTGTGTGACCTTTGACATCCCTACCTGCTGCGGCCCGTGGCTCCGACACGTACACAGCCACGGCGGACATCGGCAGGTGGGCCAGCCGCCTGCACTCAGCCTCGGAGAGCGAGGACATGCGGAGGCAGCGGTCCAGCTGGTCCCACTGCAGCGACTGGAGGCCAGAGCGGACCCAGCGCTCCAGCCGGCCCGGGGCCATGCCGCCTGCGGAGGCTGCGGCCGCTGCGTGGAGGACGAGGATGGAGAGAGGAACTGCGAGGAGCACCAGGAGCCTCATGTTCACACCTGGATGCCTCTGGTTCTTCACTTTCTACTTTCACCTTTCCTCCTTTAATCTTCACTTTCTGTCTCTTCTGTCTCTCTTGTCTTTTCTCTTTTGGTGATTTGTTCTCTTCTTACTTTTGCTTTTCCTCTCAGTTCATCCTTTTCTCATGTTATGCCCTTTGATTGGATCTTATCTGCAACTTATTTCTGCTGAGATTTGACACTTTCTTGTCCGCTGTTTCTCACTTCTCACCTGTTTTCTGTTAATTCATTTTTTGACTCTTCACACCTGCCTGGCTAAAGCTCCTTCTGACTCTTTTGGTGTGACTTCAAACTTGTCCTGCTCCTCGGTAACTATCCTTTCTTTGACTTTTCCCCGTTCTCTTAAACATTAATCCCTTGAATAAATCACTTTCCTTCCTATTTGGAATTGTTTCTCTTCCTGGACTCAAGTTAAAAATCAGCTAGCAGCATCTTTTATCATCAATCCAACGAGAAAATCTTCATCTTCTGTCGCTTTTTTATTTGTTCTTCCTTCCAGAAACGTATGATCTTCTTCGATTACTCAATCTTTATTTGCATCCTTATATTTCCTTCTCTTTGCGTCCGAGGTGATGCAGCACACTCTAACATCCTCTCCTGGTTCTCACGATGAAATCCCTCTCCTTCCTTTCTTGTGTCACTTGGTCTTTCTTCTTCTCTTCCTCTGGATCTCAAACCAAACAAATATATCCCACACTTAATTTGGTTCTTCTTGTCTTCTTTTGTTGATGGACTGACTTTGTTTCTATCCCTCCTTCAGGTTTAGAGCAGCTTCAGGCTCTCTCTCTTTTTAGTGTGTTTGTTTTAAAAGTGAAGAAAGTCAAATGTAGTCCTGAGCAGAGGAGAGGTTCAGCTTCTTCTTCTTCTTCCACTAAAACCAGTTTGTCCTGAAGACTCTTTGCTCTCTGTGACACTTGAGACTGGAGTCATCCACAGATCCTGCAGCCCAACCCACCACTGCTCTCTCTCTCTCTTTCTCTCTCTCTCTCTCTCTCTAACACACACACCCTCAAACACACCTCCTTTTCCTCCCTCTCTCTCTCTCTCTCTCTCTCTCTCTCTCTCTCTCTCTAACACACACACCCTCAAACACACCTCCTTTTCCTCCCTCTCTCTCTCTCTTTCTCTCTCTCTCTCTCTCTCTAACACACACACCCTCAAACACACCTCCTTTTCCTCCCTCTCTCTCTCTCTCTTTCTCTCTCTCTCTCTCTCTCTAACACACACACCCTCAAACACACCTCCTTTTCCTCCCTCTCTCTCTCTCTCTTCTCTCTCTCTCTCTCTCTCTCACCTCCCACTCTTCCTCTCTCTCTCTCTCTCCTCTCTCTCTCTCCTCTCTGTCTCTCTCCCTCTCTCTCTGTCTCTCTCTGTCTCTCCTCTCTCTCTTTCTCTCTATCTCTCCCTCTCTCTCTCTCTCTCCCTCTCTCTCTCTCTCTCTCTCTCTCTCTCTCTCTCTCCTCTCTCTCTCTCTCTCTCTCTCTCCTCTCTCTCTCTCCCTCTCTCTCTCTCTCTCTCTCTCTGTCTCTCTCTCCTCTCTCTACCTCTCTCCCTCTCTCTCTCTCTCTCTCTCCCACTCTATCTCTACCTCTCTCTCTCCCTCTCTCTCTACTCTCTCTCTCTCCCTCTCTCTCTCTCTCTCTCTCTCTCTCTCTCTCTCTCTCTCTCTCTCTCTCTCCCTCTCTCTCTCTCTCTCTTCCTCTATTTGTGAGCTTTGGCATGCCAGAGGTGAAGACAGGAGGATATGAAGAGAGATGAAGTTTTATTGAGTCCATAACAAAATAAAAAGGACTGAAGAATGTAAGAGAGAGGAGGAGAGGAAATGAAAGAGGTAACGAAAGGGAAGAGATGAGGAAGGAAAAGAGGCTAGGAGAGAGGGGAAGGTAGAAAAACAGAGAGAGGGAGTAAAGAGAAAGAGATGATAGGTGAGGGACAGAGGAGAGAGAAATAAAATACAAGAGAGGAGGAAAGGAGAACCAAAAGTGGAAGGAAGGAAGGAAGAGTCGAAGGGGACAAGTAGAGAGGAAATAGACAGCAGGGCAGGAAAGTAAATGAAACTGCAAAGAAACAATATAAAAGAGGGAGGAGGGGAGAGAAAGAAGGACTGAGGAGGAAGGAGAGAGGAATGGAAAAGCTAAGAGGTCATTGTAGAAATGGAAGAAATGCTTTGTAACTGTGGGGGAAAGTAAAAAGAGGGGAGGACAGAAGAAGGACAGGAAGGGGAAGAAGAGAAGGAGAGGATAAGCAAAAAGGAGAGGAAGGATGGAAAGAGGAGGTGAGGAAAGATGGAAAGAGGATGTGAGACAGACAAGGAAACAGAGGAGAAGTCAGGGAAGTATTCACAAAATGTTTAAAGGTGGGGAGATAAAAGGGAAGAGGGTTAATCAGAAAGATGGACAAAATGAAGAGAGTGAAGAAGGAAGGGGGACAGGAGGGGAGGAAGGGATGAGAGGAAGAGTTGGTGCAAAGGCACGTTTCTTGACAGGGGTCTTCCTTCCAGTGAGCCCTCTAGTGATCAGACTTTTGATCTACAAGCAGGTCCTGCACCAGCAGGGAAATACACGGACCAGGTCCCCAGTTTGAGTGGATAAGAGGGAAAATGTGTCAAAAAGTCGCTTAAGTTTCTCAATCAAAGGCTCGTCCTGATTGAGATTTGAGTTGTGTTGTTCAGACTTTGGTGTGAAGTCAAGTTTTGTTCCGTTCCAGTGAAATGTAATATCAGATACCAAAGTAAAGGCAACCCCTGACCTGAAAGTATCTCTGGGAAGAGTCGGACTAAGAGGACAAATCAAGGAAGGTGTTGAGAGTGAAGTGCAGAGATTCTGGGGAAAGGAACCCAAAAGGTCAGTTATTGTTGGGAAACATGAAGACACTCTGTTCAACTGGTCACACGCGGACTCTTTGTGTAAGACATAGTCAGACCTGGGAGTGTTATCATTTTCATGACAACCACCATCTGATTATGAAAGCAGTTTTACAGATCCTGCATGATTCAGGCTGTATGTGACAACATCAAACGTGATTTTTTCAGTTAGTTTGTCCTGCGACGGTCAGTGATACGCCTAGTAGCGTCTAAACCGGAGGGTCGCCGGGTCAAGTCCTGGTGCGGACCAATGTCTGGAAGTTGGTCTGGTTGCTGGAGAGGTACAAGGCACTTCCTGAGTACTGCAGAGGAGTACAAAAGTGTAAATTAGGGGGAATTTTACAGTAGAAAAACAGAGCAAGCACAAACAGTTGATCATTTTCCTGAAAATAACAGGATTTTATTATTATTAATCTTTAATAATTATTTTTGATGTTTTCCACACTCCATTTCAACACAGGGCGGTAATGCACCAGTAAGCTGGTTTGCCAACTGCCATAAAACTCACAAGAAGAAGAAGAAGAACGAGATCCTGAGGCTAACCCGGAAGCGATCTGGAGCTGTCATCTTACCTCAGTAGACGATCTTCGGCCACGATGCTTCACACGGAGCATCCAGCTAGCTGCTGCTGCTGTGTGAGAAAGAGCACCGAGTAGCCTCTAACTGGACCCCCGGACCGACATGATGATGACATTACAGATAATGAAGTATGTATACATATATGGTTGTTAACTGATGGTGAACTTTGTCGTTGAAACGGTGTTTCAGAGACCAGGTGATAGTTTGTGTTGTGTTGCTAAGCTAACTCTAGACGGTAAACAGAAACAGAGATCACGTCAGTTTGTAGTCGGTAACTCGCTGTCAGGCCCAGACAGATTGTTAAATCACTATGTCGGTCTGTTTTCCATATTTAACGTGATCTTGGACAGAAGTTTGAGTTATCCAGCTAACCTGAGCTAACGGTGAAGCGGCGCGTGCTGAAGCGTTGAGCACGCGCTGACAAACCGACAAACCGAAGATTTTAACAAAAATACTTTTTATTTATTTAACTCTTTACAAAACACTCAAAGACACTTTACAGAGTTACATTCAGACCAAACAAAAACATTAAAGGAGCAGTCTGTAACTGATCCCTAGTGTTTAAAACGGGTACTGCAATCAGAACTCAAAACATTAAAGGAGCAGTCTGTAACTCTGACCCCTAGTGTTTAAAACGGGTACTGCAGTCAGAACTCAAAACATTAAAGGAGCAGTCTGTAACTGACCCCTAGTGTTTAAAACGGGTACTGCAATCAGAACTCAAAACATTAAAGGAGCAGTCTGTAACTGACCCCTAGTGTTTAAAATGGGTACTGCAATCAGAACTCAAAACATTAAAGGAGCAGTCTGTAACTCTGACCCTAGTGTTTAAAACGGGTACTGCAATCAGAACTCAAAACATTAAAGGAGCAGTCTGTAACTGACCCCTAGTGTTTAAAACGGGTACTGCAATCAGAACTCAAAACATTAAAGGAGCAGTCTGTAACTGACCCCTAGTGTTTAAAATGGGTACTGCAATCAGAACTCAAAACATTAAAGGAGCAGTCTGTAACTCTGACCCTAGTGTTTAAAACGGGTACTGCAGTCAGAACTCAAAACATTAAAGGAGCAGTCTGTAACTGACCCCTAGTGTTTAAAACGGGTACTGCAATCAGAACTCAAAACATTAAAGGAGCAGTCTGTAACTCTGACCCTAGTGTTTAAAACGGGTACTGCAGTCAGAACTCAAAACATTAAAGGAGCAGTCTGTAACTCTGATCCCTAGTGTTTAAAACGGGTACTGCAGTCAGAACTCAAAACATTAAAGGAGCAGTCTGTAACTCTGACCCTAGTGTTTAAAACGGGTACTGCAGTCAGAACTCAAAACATTAAAGGAGCAGTCTGTAACTCTGACCCTAGTGTTTAAAACGGGTACTGCAGTCAGAACTCAAAACATTAAAGGAGCAGTCTGTAACTCTGACCCCTAGTGTTTAAAACGGGTACTGCAGTCAGAACTCAAAACATTAAAGGAGCAGTCTGTAACTGACCCCTAGTGTTTAAAACGGGTACTGCAGTCAGAGCTCAAAACATTAAAGGAGCAGTCTGTAACTGACCCCTAGTGTTTAAAACGGGTACTGCAGTCAGAACTCAAAACATTAAAGGAGCAGTCTGTAACTCTGACCCCTAGTGTTTAAAACAGGTACTGCAGTCAGAGCTCAAAACATTAAAGGAGCAGTCTGTAACTCTGACCCCTAGTGTTTAAAACAGGTACTGCCGTCAGAACTCAAAACATTAAAGGAGCAGTCTGTAACTCTGACCCCTAGTGTTTAAAACAGGTACTGCAGTCAGAACTCAAAACATTAAAGGAGCAGTCTGTAACTGACCCCTAGTGTTTAAAACAGGTACTACAGTCAGAACTCAAAACATTAAAGGAGCAGTCTGTAACTGACCCCTAGTGTTTAAAACAGGTACTACAGTCAGAACTCAAAACATTAGATCCTTATAGCCAGAGATGTACTTTTAAAGCTGCCAGTCTGCTGAGATCTATCGGTCCACATCGTGAGCCGTAGCCTACAAACACATTTAATACACAACAAACAGAAAATCATTTCAGATATAAATTGAAGTTCTGTGAGTCGTAAAAAATAATACAATATCTACATACTTTTTAAACTCTTATTTTAGGGTCCATTTTAATATTACGTTTGTATTTATGTCACATGTTTTTCCCTTAAAGAGTCCATAATCTGCCCTTTTTGGGGTTCTTATATTTAATCTATGTTCCTACTTTTGTACGTTCACAATAGATAAAGTCATAAAAAAGTGTCTGTTTTCATGAACTGCTCCTCCTTGCTCCCTCTACGCTCTGAGTCCGTCAGCTACACTCTGTTGAGCCCACACTGTTAGACCCCACGTGGGCCAAGACTGCTCTGATTGGTCTGCCGATCCGCTCTGTCGTTATTGGTCAGTTGCTCAGCACGCTTCTTGGAAATGTCCCGCCTCTTTTACCATATTGGGAATGCAGCCACTGGCTCCGTCCGGGGGGAGCGTAAACATTAGCACCTTAGCACTACTGTGCTACCGCAGGCTACGGCATATCGTGGGCGTGCTACAGAAGTTAACGGGCGTGCAACATGAGCTGCTGGGCCACAACGAGCCAATGGGCTTAGATCAGTGATCTCACACTGACAATGACATCACACTGACACATTTTTATCGAGGGGGGCTAGAACCGAGCGTTACATGCGGCTAATGCTACAGCTAACAGGAGGAGGTAGGAAAGTCAAACTTCAACTTTTCAGAAAGGCGCTGTTGACGTCACGGTCGCTCTTGTATGATATTCCCAGTATTTTGCAGCCAAATATTTGCCAATTGAAAATCATTTGATCAATGAATCAGGTTGTTGCTGCAGCACTGTCTCACTCACACTGACTGTCTTTCCTCTTGTTTTATCTCAGTGGTGATTGCTGTTAGCTAATGACCTCCTGTGAATCAACTGAGGATAATATGAGAGCTCAAAGGACATCACTGTCACCTCCAAGACCTTATTCCTCCACGTTAGCCAAGTGTGCCGTCTTAACACAACAAGAAGTTTACCGTTCATCCCTAGAAGAAGACTTCAATGAGGAAGGATTTACGACTTCTGGCAGCTAGCGCCTGAGAGACGTCCTGCACTCAGCAGGGGTCTTACATCATTGTCCTCTGACTGTGGGGACCTCTCTGCCTTTGGGAAAACAAAACCTCATGTGCCTGCTTTAGATTCTTAATTGAAGCTGTGTCTTCGCAGTTCTACGGTGCCGAGATCTTACCGAGCCCTGCTGACCATTTTCCCTCGGTCCACAGCTGTCACTGCATCTGTGGTGGCAGGTATGTTGACTGTTGGTCAGGGGGATTTCCAAAGAACTTGTAGTCGATCTAAAGTGACCAACAGACGATATTCGATTCTATTCGGCTGGAGCTGACACCTGAAAAGAACTACAGAAGACGTTGAAAGGAAAGCGACCAGGAGGAACCTCCAGACCAGGTTTTTTTTTAATTGACTGTGAACCCCTATCCTGCCTTTCAGTATCCACCCAGGAATTCAACCCCTAGAAAATAACCATATCCTCATCGGGGGGGTGCAATGCCAACCAACCAGTCCTCTCCGTGGGGTGGGGGTAAGTTAGGGGCAGGCTCAAAAGTAGATAGTTCAACCACTGCAACCTCTGTACGTGCACATGCCAGGACTGTTGCGGCCACTCAAGTGCCTTTAAGTCAGACTTCTTCAGAGCTGTCCAGGAGAAAAGATCAAGCCAAAACTCTCGTCTCTAATGTCGCCTCCTCTGCTTCAAAGTTGATGCAGAAGTCGGTTTCCTCATCTGGGCTTTCTGTTAGGGCCAATGGGGACGGAAAGAAAGCAAACGCCCAGAGCCAATTCACCGCCATGCCAGACTGGTCTCCAAACCCGCCACAACAACTTAATGGGATTCAGAGCCCAAACCAGGTACTAGATACTGCACTGAAGCACGCTGGTAGCAGCGTCACAGATGTCCCTTCTGCCATACCCATGAAGGAATATCAGAGTAGGTCTAATGCACAGCTGGCGGGTACAAAGCAGAAAGGTTTGCCGCTCCACTCCTCTCAACCTGGACATGGGTTAGCTGGGTGCAGACGAGATGCTGCTTCAGGTGACACTCAGACTCTCAGGTCGGTTTATCATCAAGACCTGATCATCAATGGACAGCCCGCCATGCAGCAAGCCAACAAGCTGATGGTGAGTATTATTGATGATTCACAGTGATAAACTCAGGATGGATTGTTCCAGTGCTTTCAGTCCTGATACTGATCCATAGACTTTAGCTATAGACCACTACAGATACAGATCAGGGTCCAGTGTTTGAATAATAATATGTATGCATCACTGTGTGGAAGTGGCCTGGACACAAATCTATGAATCAGACGACACAATATAAGAAAAACATGAAATGTGCAATTAAATAGTTAAACCTGCAATAACGATTTGAAATACTATAAATAAACAAATATTAAAACGTACACACAACCTAAAGTTTCTATGCACACCTTTTCATGTTTTAAACAATACCTGTGTTAGCAAACGGACCCTGCTGCTTGTTTACATGAAATTATTTCTAGTATTTAATGCGATACTTTTGCAATGTTCAAGATGCAGCAAGGAGGAAAATGTGATTTGTTGTGCAGGCGTAGTAAAAATGTGGAAGTTCACAGACTGCCTCCTCCATTTCTGACCTCTGCTTGTTCTTTCTCCTTAGCCTGCAGACTGTTCCTCCTCACCATCAGTGCCTCATCTATGCCTTACTCTTTGTGGACACCAGGAAGCAGCATTGGGAGAAACCGCCGCCAGCCTTGACAGCACAAAAGTAGAGAAAAGAAGCACAACCACCATGAGGAGAATCCAATCGGCTAAAGCAGCAACAAAATGCAGTAGAACACAAAACGGTTGCACAGAAATGACCGCTTCAAACAATCAGTTGCTTGTGAGAGGTGGACCTCCTGCGGTGTTGTCTGCAGCTACAATCAACAGGCCAAAAACAACAGCAACTCTAGATTTGAAAAGGGAAGCACCAGAAAGTCAGCGTCCTGCAGGAAACGCCTCGTCAACATGCAGAAGAAGCAGTCCAACAGCAGTCTGTCAGAATGGTTTCATGCCGACTGTGCTCAGTGCCACTCAGGAGAAGCTTCCCACACCCATGGATGAGAGCACAGGTAATCAGAATTACAGGTTTCATGTGACGACTGCTGCAGCTGAACATCCTGTAGACGTATCAAAAGCTTACAGACACTTTCAGAAGTACAAAGATTTATGTCATAGACAAAGTCAGCGAACACATTCCTGTCTCTGTGGGTGTATGTCTGCTGTAGATGTTGCTCCTGGTCCTGCAGGCGTCCTGGTGGGCTCTGTGACCAATCAAATCTCTGCAATCCACCTAACAAAGCAGGAACAGCCCGCCTCCATGGCCACTCCATCTCCAGTACCCTCCTCGCCGTCATCGACCGAGGAAGGAGACACTCAGCTGTCTGCGTGAGCAACAACTACAATCCTGAGCAGATGTTCTTCCAGTCTGTGTCCCCTTCTTAATCTCACTGATGTTCCTCTTTGTGCTCATTGTTTCCAGTCAGGAGTGCGTGATGCAGGTGGATGGAGTCGAGGAGGAGCTCCCCGATCAGCTGGATAATGCCTGCAGTGATGACGGTAAGATGTGGCGCACGTTTAGAGATTCAGTAGAACCTCTGAGATCTTTATCTTACGTTAACTTTGTTCTAACTCTTCCATCTTCAGATGATTCAGACTATTCATCCATCACCGGCACCTCGTCCTCCTCATCCATCGCTACTATTTCTGGGTAAGACTTAACTTTTACCTCTCTAAATACACTTAAAATAGAACTTACTTGCACGCTGCTGAAGATTGGCGGTCTATCTGTCCTCAGAGTCTATATAGCTTCTTTTTTTTTTTTTTTTTTATCTCATGTTATGAGGCCAAAAATCTGAAACGATCCAAGAAAAAGTTTGACTGTTGAACTCAAAACACGCTTAGGAGTTCATAGTTAAGCCATCAGAGAATATACTAGAGAAAGGAGCAATATTTAACTCTGACCCCTAGTGTTTAAAATGGATACTGCAGTCTAAATTCTAAACATCACAGGGTTTTTCCTGGCTCAGAATGGACCTTTGGGGCGTGACTATACGCGCTGTATTAAACGTTCGACTCGCGTATAACAGTATAGTCTACGAGTCTGTATTACCTTATTTGACAGAAATCTGTGCATTTCCTGTTATTTCTGACCATTTTATAAATAATATTATCATTATGCTTAAGTTACTGAAACCCCAATTAAATCTGGTAAAGATTTTTTTTTTATTGTAACAGTGAAACAGGGGAGGGGAGGGATTTTGAGGGAGAGGGGTGTAATGAGATTGGGAAGGGCAAGGTTACATCCTGCCAGTGCATTTCACTCTCTTCCTATGATGGCTGCTCTCTACCTTTAAATTGTGTTTAAGTACATTTATTTGAGTTAAGGTATTATGTCAAATAATCACAGATTTAAGTCACAGATAATTTGGATCATTTGATCGAATCAGGAAATTGAGAAATAATAAAAATCTATTTGCTGTTTGACAGTCTGTGTGGAGAAGTTCACAGACTACAGCTGGCTGACGTTACGATCGTTAAGTTATTGATTGTTGATAAAAGCAGACACGGTGGAAGTGAACGGAGAAAAGTTGAACATGCGTTCCCGACTCGGTCCATACGGATCGCGGATCAACCGTGTTCTGTTGCACAGTTGCACTGCAAGTAAACATGGGGGGCGTGGTGGTTGGGGGTCGTCTCGGCATGCCCTCGCGATGACCCGTCTGCAGACAGCAGAGGAGCAGGGACAAGTAGCTGCAGTCTAGTCTACATCATATGCGGTTTAGTATAGTTTGTCCATGAAGTGGATTACTCTTTGAAATTAACTCGCCAAACAGAAAATCAATCTTCAGTTCGTCAGCGGTGTGTCCAGAACCAATCAAAAGAAACAAACAGCCAATCAGCTGGCTATCCAGTGCGAGCCACAGGCATAAATGGATGAGAGGGGAGATGACTGCTAGAAGTCAGAGACGTCATATTTAAGTTTATGTTCTGCTTGTTCATCAGTCGTTTGATGTATAGATATTTTTAACATTCAGAGAGGATTTGATTTGCAATTTGAATTGTCTTTTTTTTTCTTTTGGCGCTCGTGATTTTCCTTTGGCGCTGGGTAAAACCTCTTTGGGGGGCCCCAAAGAATTCTCTATGCAGGAAAAACCCTGCATCATAGAGAGCTGTCTCCTCCCCCCCCCTCTCTCTAGAGTGGATGCTCACTCAGGTCACCATGTGGTGGACTCTGAAGCTTCAGTGTTTATCCAGCTCTGCATGGGTCTGTAAACCTTTCTGTGTTCTAACCTCTCTCCATTTTTCAAAAGCATCTCCAATATTGATCCTAGTTTGAGCACGTTTCTGCTCGTGGAGCTTATTAGAAACATGCAGAGGCTTTTTAGGTCGGGTACAATCACTTCTATCTGAACCACTTCTCTTGACCGCTTCCATCGCTGCAACACCTGTTGACCTGATAACTGCTCTCATATCTGACAAACCGAGGGGCGTCCAAAACGGCCGTGTGGGGGGTGTGTCTTAAAAGCGCCTACCTTCTCTGGTCCAAATAAATCCAGAGCATTCAGGAGCAGAATCTAAAGTTAGAAGGAGGACATACTGGCTGCTGCATTGTTGTCAGAGAAGCCAGCACTTCAACATAGCATGTTTCCTTAATGATCAGAGAGTAAGATACCTTTATCATCTACCTCTTGTTGAAATGTTTTTTTCCTATTTCAAACAACAGCACAGGTCTTTAGATGTCCTTAACTTCACTGACTTACAGACAGCACAGTCTTTTCCTCGGTCTTTCCTCCTACTTTCCTAAAACGGATTTATCCATTAGATCCTATGATCTCTTTATTTCTCTTGTCCATTGTCCCTCCCTGCATTGTTCAGGAGGCCGAAAGCAGCAGAGCATGGTGGAAAGGTCCGCTGCATTGTGCATGGCATTGTTCTCCACTGTGATGTCTAAACAGTCGAACTCCCCACCAAAGACTCGGAGCTGGTTCTTTACTAAAACCGCCTGGATAGGGGACGCTATTGTCACCTTTTTCCCCTCAACCAGCTGATTTGTTTGTGTTGCTTCCTGAATGCTATAGCTTCAGTATGAAAAGTGAAACACTCCCGCAATGCCAACGTTTGGCGGTCCGTGGTGGAGGTCTTTGATTTGAGAGGATTATTTCCCCCGTTACTTCATCCGTCTCTCTCCCTTCATATATGACTGTAACGTAAGTCTGTTTTTCCTTATAGTTTCTGAGGTTTCTGCGTTTGTTGGACTGATTTCATCTTGCAGCAGCTCTAGAGGTCACGAGGTCGTCTTGGCTTTGCAGAGAGCCGTTTGAGGAAACATAGTTTATTTAAATAAAGATCAATATGAAGAAGTGTTAGATCTCTTGTTTTGAATAAAGATCAGGAGAGAAAAATGTCAAAATTAAACCATTTAGTCTTCACTCTCAGTAACTAACTTCACGTTAAAGAACTTACGGCGTCCTTTTTTAAATGTATTTCTCTTCTGTCAGCAGCGACTTTTAGCTCTTTGATGTCTCTGTTGTCGTCAAATGTCGGTTGAACAACTAACAGATTAATTCATACTACAGCTGTCAAACTATTAACAATTATAATCGATATTAATCACGTTTCAAATCCTGTTAATTAACATTTAAAAGGCTTTTATTTTGAAATCCTGTCTTAGTCTTAAAGTACTTTTCATGCTGTGTGCTTTTATTTTGAAAGAAAGTAAGACCCTTCTGGTAGCTGGAAGGTCAGGACATGACGTTAAGCTCAGAAACAGGAAGTGGTTAGAGATCCCAAACTGACTAAGAGTGCCCCTTTAATGATCTCTCGAGTATAAACAACGTTTGTATTGTTGAATGTTTTGCCCGACACGATTAATCAAGTTTTAATTTCAATGACGATTTAATCTTCAAGATGATGAAATCGAGACTGTCCAGTTTAAACCATGACTGTGCCGCATTGTGCTTGTTTTGTCCACAGGACTCGACATGTTATAAGTGTTTGTCTTTTATTTTGAAAGTCTCCCGACTTGAAGAAGTTTTCTTACTCCGTGTAGTTTAATGCTTGAGTTTTAATAAAAGATATATATCACATTTTAAATATTTTTCCTTCTTAAATCCTGATCTGACCATCACAAGCGACCTTTGACCTTTTGATTTAACCTGCGTTGTTATATCACTTGTCATGATGTCGGTATCGGAGAGCGTCTTCATGAGTCTCTCTTTTCCTCAGAGTTGAGGAGCCGATGTCATTGGAGGCAGAAGATGATCGCGAGGAGAAACCGGCTCTGGTTCCCAGTTTGTTCCCCTTCATCCCTCCAACGCTCTACTTCAGCACGGCCAACGAGAAAGGTGAGCGCACGCACGCCGATGTGAAAAATAGGTAACATTATCCAATGCTTTCAGATGTTACAGCCGGTGTTCAGGGCGTTGAAGTTATGACCTCTTCATCCCGGCACACATCTCGCCAATGGTCTTCTTCTGATGAAATGTGTCTTCTGTTCTGTTTCTTTGCTCGTCAGTGGAGCTTCTTCCTGCAGAACAAAGACGACTGTTAAAATGGAAGATCAGCACCGTCACGCCAAACGTTGTGAAACACACCATCGCCAGGTCACACTTCAAAGCCACCAAGAGTAAGTCCTCACGGGTGTTCCAAAAAATACAGAAACAAAGATGTTAAGGTGCACTTCAGCGGTCGTTTTATTGGACCTCAGAGAGATAACGTCCCTGTTAGTTTAACATGCATGAGCTGAAACATCAAACTGTGTTGTTCCCGTAGAGAGCCACGACTGGTTGGGCTGCTGGGGACACCACATGAAGTCTCTCGGCTTCAAAGTCCTCGGAGAACACCAGAAGGTGAATAATAAATCACACGCCCAGGGTCCGAAATTAACACCTCGCCAAGCGCCAAATGCGGGTAGATTTTCCGTTTGGCGAGTACTGAACTACTGCCTACAAATAATGCATGAAAATAAAAAAAAGGCCAATTTCCTGATCTCATGACAAGATCGAATCTGTGACTTAAATGTGTTATTGATTAAACAAAACATATTACCTTCTTAATTAAATGCAATGTAACAGATGTGTTTGTGGGACACAAAAACAAAATTTGTTTATTTATTGCCGGTAAGAAAATATGTTTGGCCGGTGAATGTTTCCATCTACCTGCCACCTCGGCCGGTGAGTCAAAAAGTTAATTTCGGACCCTGCACACCCCCAGATATGCTTCACTTTAAGGACGGCGGGACTCGTTAACTGTTTCTCTGTCCCTCGGTCCTAGCTGAACCACTTCCCAGGGACGTTTCAGATCGGCAGGAAGGACCGCCTGTGGAGGAACCTCTCCAAGATGAAGGCTCGCTTTGGCAAACAGGAGTTCAGCTTCTTCCCCCGAACCTTCATCCTCCCTCAGGACATCAAGCTGCTCCGCAAAGCCTGGGACGACGGCAGCTCCAGGCAGAAGTGGATCATCAAACCGGTATGTTTAAAAAAAAAAAAAAGCTTTGAAGGCGAATCTGAAAACACAGGAAGTATGCTTTATTGTCTTTGTCGTTTCAGTTTGATGATTTATAAATCTGTCTGAAAATAAAGGTCAGTAATCGATGAAACAAATACAGATGTATTCACCCCGTCTCTTTCTCCTCACGTCCTGTAGCCGGCATCAGCCAGAGGAATCGGCATCCAGGTCATCCACAAATGGAGCCAAATGCCCCGCAAGAGACCCCTGCTGGTCCAGAAGTAAGTAGGCCCCGACACAGACTGCTTTGATCATCCTCAGGAGAGCGTGAAACATTATTCTCCCCGTGTTGTTCTGCAGGTATCTTCACAAGCCCTACCTCATCAGCGGAAACAAGTTTGACCTGCGGATCTACGTCTATGTGACATCGTACGACCCGCTCAAGATTTACATCTTCTCTGACGGACTCGTTCGATTCGCCAGCTGCAAGTCAGTTTCAACCTCACCCTGCACAATAAAAAAAAAAAAAAAGACCAAGAAACAAAGAAACACTGGGTTAGATAATGCACACTTAACACAGGATGTTCCCAAAGTGACTCGGGTATACCTGTAAAGTAATCAGATCGTTTTAAAGATGGAGTCAGTAGACTGGGCCCCTCCTCCTTGGCTCATCCCCCCCAGAAGTGGAAAAGTCCGTCATATTCACCGCTTTGAATGGCGTCCAATCACTGAATTGTATCCACTCCCTAAACTCACCTGCTGCGCTGTCATTGGCTGGAGGAAACACACCAGCTCCGCCCACAAACGTCCCGAGTCAACCGTCACAAATCAGAACAGTAAAATCCAGTCAGAGGACAGAGTCTCTGCAGACACAGTCACCACCACACATGTACGGAGGCCCAGAAGGGACAATGGTGCAGCTTCACTTTAGGAGAAGTCTGTTTTATTTTGAAGGAGAAGTCTGTATTTTATTTTGAAGGAACAAGCTGCTGACTCTGTCTTTAATTATTGTGAGATATTCTGTCTTGATGGATGGGCTATCCATCTTGTTTTCGAGGGAGTCCAGTTGGAAACACTGTGACATCAAAAATGTTTCTGAACTGATGTTAAAGTTTCTACTCGTCTCTTCTCTTCAGGTATTCGTCTTCCATGAAGACTTTGAGTAACAAGTTCATGCACCTGACCAACTATAGCGTCAACAAGAAGAACTCTGAATACCAGGCCAACAGCGACGACAAAGCCTGCCAGGGACACAAATGGTAAAAGAAGGAAGATGTTTGTGCAGAATATTTGAGGTGGACGAGGAAGAACAAACTAGTAAACAGACATGTATAGGTTCAAGTAAAGCAGAGATATTTCTGACCACTCAGCACTTCCCTTTTTTAAATGTGTTGAAGCTCTGATCCCCATCTGATCTCCTTAATGTGTGTTTGTGTGTTCAGGGCTTTGAAGGCCTTGTGGCAGTTTCTTGGTGCTAAAGGAGTCAACACCACGCTGATCTGGGAGAAGATCAAAGACATCGTCATCAAAACCATTATCGCGTAAGTTTCCTCTTCTGTCCTTCATCGGTGTCATAACCTCAGAGCAGTCGCTATGATGATGAATGTTTCTGCTTTTACATTCTTTGCCGGTCACATCCCTGATCAACGCAATTACTTCAAATATATAAAATATAATTAAATGTCCCAGAGACGAGGACATTAAGTTATTTTGGGATTGTGGGTTTTTTGCCCCTACTTGAACTTTAGGGTGTTTTTACACATCTAGATCGTTTGCTCTGGTCTGGATCAGGGTTTGATTGACAGCTTTCACACCAACACAAACAAACCGCACTAACTCTGTGTGTGTGTGAAAATGTCTGTTGGTGTCTTCAGTGAGGAACGAACGCTTCAGTTCGCCCGTTATTTAATGAATTTAGTCTGTACAGGAAGTCCTCCTCTGCTGCAGAGACAATAATCCCTCTGAGATGAAACGATGACTCATTTCAGAGGAATCTGTTTTTCTTGAAGGAGAATGAAACGTTTTGTTTTCTGTGTGTGACCTCAGGTCAGAGCCGTACGTCAACAGTCTGCTGAAGATGCACCTCCGGACGCCGTACAGCTGCCACGAGCTGTTCGGCTTCGACATCATGCTCGATGAGAACCTGAAACCCTGGATCCTAGAGGTCAACATATCACCAAGGTAACACACCACACACACATACACACACATACACACACACACATGTTTACACACACACACACACACACACACACATGTTTACACACACACACACACACACACACACATGTTTACACACACACACACGTTTACACACACACACACACACACACACACGTCTACACAGAAGAAGACAGATTTTTAACCGCCGTGTTTTTGCTGCAGCCTCCATTCCAACACGGCGCTGGATGTTGCCGTCAAAGGTCAGATGGTCCGAGACCTCCTGAACCTGGCTGGTTTCAGGATTCCAGATAAAGACGATGTGGTCGCCCCCTGCAGCAGCGCCTCCAGCTCCACCAGCAGGTAGGGAGGAGGCATTACAGCCTGTAGGCGACCAATAAGACCATGCAGCTTAAACCAGGGGTCATGTGACTGCGATGAGAACAGTTCAAATATAATAATAAAAACAATTACCGTAAAATCTGGAATATAAGTCGCACGGGGAGATAAGATGCAGTCTGTGTTTTGGGGTCAGTCAGGGAAAAAAAGGTTTAAACCACTGTGATCAATCAAATCTACGATGGACAGTTGACGTCTGACGCTCTTTATTCTGTCTGTTTTCACCATGTGGCGTTTGCACTCCAGCTCTCAGTCTAAAGAGAGAAGTTCTGAAGTAACAACAGCCAGTGAGTCTCTGCCCACCTCCGCTGGTCACTCAGAATTTAATTGAGGATTCTTTTAATCAGTGCAGCATCCACAAGCTTTACAGCCTGGTCTGCGTCACTATGTATCCCCACAGATTGCAACAACATGTCAGGTGACGTGCAGGGTGTGATGGTGGTCGCTGCACTCTGTATTGAAGCTGCGTTTCTCAGCATTTTATATTGCTATAAAGGACGCAGCCAACTTTTTAGATTAAACAATAGGTATGATAAGTGCATCCTGTACTATTATAACTCTAACTAGGTCATTAATTAAGATCAAGTTTGAACGATGTTCAACCCGATCTGCAGCCCCTCAAACAGATCGTTTTGTTAAATAAACACTGTGTGTGTGTGTGTGTGTGTGTGCATGTGTGTGTGTAGTCTGTGTGGGGGGAGCAGGGAGAAGACCAGGCTAGATCTGTCAGCTGATGAGAAGGTCAAACGTGCCTTTTACCTCACACAACGCTTTGCTGACCAGGTAAATGAACACACACACACACACACACACACACACACACACACACACACAGAGCTGAAGGTATGTGCTAACCCAGAGTTGCATAACATAAAAGACAAAAATCTATTTTGTCAGTTTTTGGATCTTCCTGTTCAAAGTCAACCTCTCATCCTTCTCGGTCAGGACTTCCTCTCTTCGGTGTTGGACGTCCTGACTCCGGATGACGTCCGCGTGCTGGCAGAAAGCGAGGACGAGCTGACTCGACTTGGAGAGTTTGAGCGGATTTTTCCCTCGCGGTCGTCGTCCCGCTACCTTCGCTTCTTCGAGTATCAGAGATACCTCAACATCCTGCTGGACCAGTGGGAGCAGAAGCACTGGAACGACAGGACCAAAGGTGTGTGTCAGTTTCATCCACAGTTACTGGACCTGAAGTTCAAACCTGCAGAACTCAGACACGCCCACACACTCCTTCATGGAGTCACCATCTGCTGCAACATCGTACAATCTATTCAACACACACATAAACTGATTAGTAAGTTTAGCTCAGTTATTTATACCCTCGTCCAGAGGTGTACAGCTGAAAGGTCTGAGGGTTTAGTTACTCTTTAAGGAACTTAAGTAGATTATCAAAACAGTGACAAAGATCTTTATCTCAGGTTCCTCCACACACGGGCCTCCCGAGAACTTTTATCTTGAAACATTTGTTCGATCCTTGATTTAAGACGGAGTGTTGATGTTTGTATCTTTGTTCATGATTTAGGGGAAA